CCTGCTGCCTTGGGCTGCTGAGGCTTCCTCGCAGGAGCCTTTTTCTCCCGGCCATTAAAAAGGGAAACGCGCGGCTCTGTGGTGCTCATCGCTTGTGTGAGGCTCTGCAGGGAGGCCTGGATTGTAGATGGGTTTCCTCCCTCCCCCAGCAATGCGCGAGTTACTGTAATAGGCCATTTATTATTATCACTTCGAATTTATATCACAGTCGTGTCTTGAGGCCTCGGCAAAGATCAGGGCTGTGTTTCACTGCCCGGTTTCCAGGCACTTCTGATTTGTGGAGCCCGTTCCAGAGCTGTAGGTCTTTTCCTGAGGGCTCTTTTGCTTTTGGCGAGCTTCACGTGTTGTCGTGGCTGTTAATACTGCCCGTTTGCGGGACCGCAGCACTGAATTTAGGCCCTGTTGTGCCGAGCACCGTACAACTCCATAGCAAAAGCTCAAACCTGAAACAGGCTTGGGAAGACAGGGCATCTTGTTTGGCACAGCACAGCGGGTCGATAGGAGAGCTGGGAGTTCAGCAGCCGAAATATTGAGGGCTGTATTGATCCAGATGCTGCGGGGATCATGGGCTGTGCTGGGGTAACGTGTGTCAATGAAAAATGTGTTATTTTTCGCGCTTGGGGAACACGAACCACCTCAAGATAGACAGACAGAACTGCTCCCACCTCTCCCCCGGTGCCAGATGATTTCTTTTTTGCACAAGGACTGCTCTTCTGGCTGGGATGGTCAGGATGTTGTGCTGTACGTGGAGGCTGGTATTGTAAAGTTAACCACCTGAACAAGGCAGGTAAGGGGGCAGGCCCAAAGGGAGGAGAGGAGGGAAGTGGCTGGCAGAAAATGCCCACCAAGTTTCAGGTGGCTCCTCTGGTCTTCCAGCAAGGGCAGGCTCCAGCTTCGGAGGTAGAGAGCTGTTTTTTGTCCCTACTGGGAAGAAGAATATCGATGAGGCAGCCAGAGCTGGGTCGATTCCCTGAGCTGCCTTCTGGGGATCTGGCGGCTGCTCGATGACCTCATCTCGTCAAGGTTTCAGCAGCCTTGCTCCCCTCCTCCAGCCCCGTCCTTTGGAAAAGGTGAAGGATGGAGTGTGCAGGAGGCTAAAATCCTTCTATCGATCTGTAGTCTGGAGAGCAATTAACGCAAGCCTTCCAGTGCCGCTGCGTGACCCGAGCCCTCTCCGGCGTGCGGGAAGGAGGGGGTGTCTGCACCGGGAGGAAGGGGAGAGGGGTTAGAGAGTGGTAGCAAAACTGATTAAACCCGTAGAGGGGCTGATTTCCAAGTGGGTTTGCTTTGTGCGCTGGTCTCCCGGTTGGCACCTGAATTGGCTCCTGTGATGCCAGGAACAACACCTCGCATGTCTCCCTGCAGCAGACAGCCCCGCTGCAGCCCGGCCGCTGGCGTCGCAGCAGAGGTTTCCCTCGCTGGGCTGGCCAGAGGGTTGCTCTCCCTGACCCGTTCAGCCTTTGGCTTCTCTTCTGGAGCAGCTGGATATCAGGAGGAGGGAGGAAGATTATAAATGGATTGCGGCATGGGTGGCGAGGGCTTTTACGTGGACACCTGTCTACACGACACTGGCCTGGGACGATGGATTCTTTTCAGTCCCTTCACGCTGGGCCCCATCTGGTGAAATGCTCTGTAATCCATTACCAGTCTCTCGGACCCTCATTTATCACAGAGCAAGACAGAGGAGGCCTGGCAGGGAATAGATGCTGCCCTTTATGCATCCTCGCAGTCCAGCAGGATCCAGTGACATGTCATTATTATAATAGAAGGTGCGTCCCTTCTAGCCACTTGGCACCTATTTGTTATCATCCTCCAAACTGCCAGAGCAGTGGCGAGTGGGTGCAGCCATGCGCAGAGATGGAGCAGGCGGTGCGGTATCTTCCCGAGGAGGGACAGGAGCCCTTCTGCTCTCGGCATCTTCAAATGAGAAAGGGCCGGTGCCTGGATGCGGTGTGCTGAGGGCTGGTCCTGTACTCGTTGCAAATGAGGTACGCACCGAGGCCAGAGAGCTACAGCTACCGTGTCCTCCTGCAGAAGTCCTTCCTGGGGTCATTCCTGCATCTGCTGACTTCGGTCCGCTGACACAGCTGAGGTGGGAGCAAAAGGGCAGGGGGGACACCTGAACACCAGGCTCTACAGCCCCCACTTCGGGGGTGCTGAGTACGCAGAATGGGGACTAAGGCTTTGGAGCCACTAGGGCTGAGCTCTTCTGCGCTCACCGTGAGATTTTGGGCTTTTCTGCAGGGAACAGGGGTGTTTTCCCACTAACTTCAGTGGAAGTAGATTTCTACCCTTTAACTTTTAAGTTTTGTGGCACAGAAATTGCTAATAGGCCAGAACCCAAAGTATTGGTATTTACCTTCCCCCTCCCAAGAAT